GACACATACAAAGATCCAGGTCTATAGAGCCTGTGTCCTAAGCACACTCCTGTACTGCAGTGAGTCCTGGACCTTTTGTGCACGGCAGGAGAGGAAGCTGAACACGTTCCGTATGCGTTGCCTCCGACGGATTTTTGGTATCACCTGGCAGGACAAAGTCCCAAACAGAGTAGTCCTAGAACGAGCTGGGATTTTCAGCATGAATACATTACTGAAACAGCGACGTCTACGTTGGCTTGGGCACGTCGTGAGAATGGCTGATGGTCGGATTCCAAAGGATCTCCTGTATGGAGAATTAGTGCAGGGAAATCGCCCCAGAGGGAGACCACAGCTGCAATACAAGGACATCTGCAAGCGAGATCTGAAGGCCTTAGGAATAGACCTCAACAGATGGGAAACCTTGACATCTGAGCGTTCAGCCTGGAGGCAGGCACTGCATCACGGCCTCTCCCAATTTGAAGAGACCCTTGCCCAGCAGGCTGAGGCAACGAGGAAGTCACAAAAGCAGCAAAACCAGGGAGCTGGACAGGGGACAGATTGGATTTGTCTTCAGTGTGGAAGGGATTGTCACTCTCGAATTGGCCTCCTCAGCCACACTAGACGCTGTTCCAAGTCCTCCATACAGAGCACGTTACCATAGTCTTTCGAGACTGAAGGATGCCTAACTAAATGGACTAGGAGTCTAGAAAACAGGGTTCAAATCTCCACTTGATAATGGAAACTCACTGGGGGAGTAGAGCTGATAAAGCCATTCCTTAGATACATCACTCACCTTGAAAGCCCTATTACGGTTGCCATAACTCATTTCCAATTTGACAGCGCAAAACAACAATAAAATCTCCTGTTTATCTGCTGTGATTTAAATAAATTTTCAAATTAACAGTACCCGTGAATAACCTTTGATCATCTATAGTTATACCTTTCACCTACTGGGGCAACTGAAGAACCTTATTGTCATTGGTGAGTTGGCCAGGAAAGGGTGACCAAAGCTGGTCTTGAAAAAGACTTTCTTAAATCCTCTACCACAGTACATTGAAGCATTGCATTTTTAGCTCAGAGGAACAGTTTAGGAGCTCTAAGATGTGAATCACTGATAAGAGGAATTTGAGATTGCTTATGCCTTAGAAGCTGAAAACTTGATTTACATTTTTCTTTTGAAATAACTTTTTAAAACCTCAGTTTGTAACAAAGATCTAATTTAGAAGTGCCTGATCCTCGTAGATACAGTACATGGGAGCAACAGAGTCCCATACTGTATTTTGCCCATGAGATACTGTAATCGAGGGAGACAGATTACACAATTTTACTTAGTACTAAATTGGCTGAGAATTCCAGGAGGTAAAGAAAGGCTCCATTTTGTTTTATGTGACATGTTGGACCTTTCCTTGGTTTTTACATATTCTTGAGTTTTGATAAATCAGCTTATGGATCAAAGTGGATATTCTTTAGTTTGTGTTGCTGCTTTCTTTTGTAATTTGGATGCACAAAGTGGCTTTTGTTTTGATATGTTCTGGATTAGAGGATCGAATTGACAAAGATCACAAAACCCTGGGAAAAGTCTAGTTTTTAAGGTTTGTGGGTTTTAGAGACTGGCTTGTCTGGTGAAAACTGGTTTCATGCTGGCTCGTTTCTTGAGAGACACCCTAAATATTTGAATTCAATTCTGATGCTGCACTTGTTGTGGTTGTTTCTTGTTATCTTTCCAAAATACCTTGCTGCATAAGGTCCTTGGCTGAGTTAGCAGCACCAGATCTGCAGTCTGGAGGTTGTTAATGCTGCAACCTTAAGTACTGATAGTTGTTCTTTCAACTTACTGAACAAAGGCCAGTGAGAAAGAAACAGACTGTTTGGTGTAGGTTTAAAATAGCAAGGTGCCAATTTTTACTGGTGTTCATCCCTTGGTTTAAAAGAAGAGCCTTACTGTGACAAAATGTTCAAACACATTTTTAAGAAGACTAAAATGCTGACTGAGGAGAGCAAATTGGAGGAAGGGGACCTTCCCTTGACTATCCCCCCATGTTGGTCCAAAGACAGACATATTTGTGAAAACACAGCGAATAATCTCTGGGAGACTCTCCCTTATCACTTTCTCTCCAAGAAAGGTGCTTCCAGACGGCTCGATTTATAGACTTTTCGAGTTACAGACTTTTCTGGCCGCAAAATTTAGGTTCGACTTGCAGCCAGAGAATCGACCTACAGACCAGAAAAAAACCAAAATGAAACAAAAATGGCCGGTTATTGCATTAATTGGTTTTCAGTGCATTGTAGGTCAATAGAGATCTGCAGCCACCATTCCAATACGGATTAATTCCGTAAGTAGAAGGTCCACTGTACTTCTCTTCTGAGAAAAAGGTAAAGCCAGGGAACAAGAATTAACGGAATGCTTCTTTATCATTTTTACACTTAGGTTCTGATCAACTGTTGCCAGAGTGAAAGAAAACTGAAAAGCAGTATGAGGAAAAAGAAGAAGAATGTTTAACAGAAAGAAAAAGAAAGAGGCTGTTACAGATTACAGGAATTAAAGCAGGTTTTACTTCAGAATGTGAGCTTGATGAGGAATAAGGGATAGATAGATCAGGAGTTGAAACAGATAAGAATGTGCGATACTGCAATTCAATCCAGACTGAAACAAACTGGGGTGGAGGGAAGGAACTGTAGAGCTGAAGGGAGCTGTCAAAATCATTACAATGAAGCTTAGATAGAAACAGAGACCAGAAAGAAACCACTCCCGTTGCAAGGCTTTAAAGGTAAGACATGGCTGTTGTTAATGCTGTCAAGTCAGAACAAATTTATAGTGACCCTAACAGGTTTTCAAGATAAGTGAGATAGTTAAGGAGTCATTTTACCAGTTCCTCTCCTCCAGTCAGTTTCCATGGCTGAATGAGGTCTTGCCTGTAGTCCATCACTCTATTCACTATACCACATTGGGCCATTACCAAGTGTAAAAAAAGCCAGCATCCTTACTATAACTAACAATCATGTTGATTTTCCTATGGTTATTCTATGCTAGGGGTTCTTACACCCTTTTACAGCACAAAGCTCCAGTGGAGCAGATCTGAATATCAAACAAAGGTCATTACATCACTGTGAAAACCACACTGCCTCACACAATTTACAGAATCCTAACCAACCAACCACTGTCTTTGTATTTTGATTCCACGTATAATGCATACAGATTTGTCCCGTTATCTCACTCTTATGCCTGAGGAAGTGGATTTTATCAAATTATAATATATCAGTCTTTAAGGTGCCACAACATTTTTATCGTTTTCTATTTATTATTTTATTCTTTATGCTCAAGGTCGTTAGCTGCATTCCTGTTTCAGTGAGAGCAAACTTCCAACAGGTGGGGTGACCTCTCATTCTGCCTTTTCCCTTAGAGTTACAGTGGGGTCTTGACTTGAGAACTTAATCCGTAGTGGAAGGCGGTTCTCAAGTCAAAAAGTCTGTAAGTCAAGTCTCCATTGATCTACAGTGCATTGAAAACCGATTAATCCCGTAACAGGCCGTTTTTGTTCCATTTTGGTTTTTTTCTGATCTGTAAGTCAAATCTCAGTCTGCAAGTCAAACCTAAATTTTGCGGCCAGAGAAGTCTGTAACTCAAAAAGTCTGTAAGTCAAGCCATCTGTAAGTCACGGGTCCACTGTAGATCATAAGTTAAAAGACTTTGTCTGGCCAATCCTAGTGGCGATTAGGTAACTAGTGTCCTATCTGAATTCTTTCAACATTCTGTGTAATAGTGCTATGTTAATAAAAGAGTTCTCAAGGCGTTACTTGAGGCTCCGCTGGTTCGGGTATCTGCTTGTTGACTTCTTTGCAAGTTCTCTAAGGCTAATTGCATTCTGTGATCACCCACATCATTAGCCTTCCTTTGTTCCATGATCACCTACAGTTTAGCCTTATAATTTAAATAATTAGTGTTTGGTGTTTGCGAAACTACATCTCAAAGGGGAAACTGTTAATGAGATCCAACTTTTAGTTATAAAACTAAAAGTTTAGTGTCTTCTGTACACTGGACAGAAGACATATGGATATGTGGATTGGACTGGAATACAGATATACGGCCTATGGAAAGGACTACTGACGTGTGGAATGGCTTGCCTATGGAGAGGCATTGAGGAAATCTTTGGTTTGTTTCATAACAGCACTATTGACTGTTTCCTGTTGGGAAAAAGGACTGAGGATTCCTTCCAGCCTATCCTTTTGCATGATAGACTGAGGGAAAAATGTGTATATTTTGTCTTTATATGGATGTAATACAAGCAGGGACTCAGAACTGTACAGATGGAGGGGAGCTCAAGCATCACTGAATCTAACTTCTAACTAAAGCAGGACATCCATAGCTAAAGTATCTTTGGTACATGGCCATCCAACTATCCAGCCTTTCTTAAAAACCTCCAATGAAGGACAGTCCACTATCTTCCAGGGTAGTGCACTCTATTTTCAAATACAATTTTCTGTCAGGAAGCTGTTCCTAATGTTTAGGTAAAATCTTGTTTCTTGCAAGTCTTCCCCTGCATAGTGGCAGAAAACAAGCTTGTTCCATCTCCTTAAAATATATGAAAAAATCATATCATCTCTTGATCTTTTCTTCTGTAGGCTTAACATACCCAGTGGTCTCAACAATTCCTCACAGAGCTTGGTTTTTAGCAACAGTAGTTGATCCTGAACTGCTTTTTTTGTTGTTCTGTTCTTCATGCTGTGTTAAAGCAACACAGTAAAAGAAAAAAGGCAAGAGAAAATATTTTGTAAAATATACCTCACGTGTTTGGGAAAATGTTTGCTTGTTTACTGGAGTTCCCCCTTGTGTCTGATGTTCCTTTTGCTTGAGGAGTTGGACACAAAAATCAAACTAGCAGAATGAAGAAAATGAAGCAAACTGCAGAAAGAGACAAAAGAATTGACTGTGTCATTCTTCATGGGTAATATATACACTTATAATGTTTTAAAACAGTTTAACCATGATAACGTTTTCCAAAGAATTCTGGGAATGGTGAGAATTTTGCAAATTTTCTTTCAGGAAACCAAGCCACAGTTACTAAAGTCCAGACAGAGAGAGAGTCAGAGAAAGAGAAAGAGAGAGAGAGAAAACTATTGGTGTTGTTAAAAATCTTCAGTGCAGATGTGACTACTGTTTACCTTAAGAAAAAGACATGTGAAGCTGTCTTAGTCCCTAAGATTTGCTAAAAAAAATTCCTCAGCAACTTTTTTTTCTCAGTGATAACCAAAATTAGATCACTAACTGATTTTTGCCTATCCATGGAATCCTAGAAACTGCAGAAAGCAAAAATAAATAAAGGAAGAAAGAAAGAAAGAAAGAAAGAAAGAAAGAAAGAAAGAAAGAAAGAAAGAAAGAAAGAAAGAAAGAAAGAAAGAAAGAAAGAAAGAAAGAAAGAAAGAAAGAAAAAGAAAGAAAGAAAGAAAGAAAGAAAGAAAGAAAGAAAGAAAGAAAGAAAGAAAGAAAGAAAAGAAAGAAAGAAAGAAAGAAAGAAAGAAAGAAAAGTAAGTCACATCATGAAATAAATGTTGATGTAAGGTTCCAACACAGAGACAGAAATTAGGGTGCTGATTTCTAGGAAGAACAGAGCCCTCCTCATATTGTTACTACTTGGTGGAGTGTAGCTGGTGGTAGAATTGAGCCACACATTACTGAAGAGTTCCAGGGGATAAAGTCTGAGTTGGCTAGTCCATTACCATGAGGGGAAAACAGAATTAAACTATAAATTATGTTTGATGACGCCTATGGAAGTCTATGGCACCAAATATCTCTCACACCCCTCAGCTTCCTAGTGCCCATTGGCTTTCCCGACTGGCAGCTTTATACACATCTTCAGAGGGTGAAAGGCTACGTGCAAAACACAAGTGCAACAGAACATCTAATGACAGGCATGGCATTACACTGGTGCCAGGAGGCATAGTCAGTAAGCACGATCCTGCTCCATATTCTGTCAATTGAGGGAGGAATGGTGCTCATCTGAACAGGTGTACAGAGAAAATGGCTTCAGATAAGATACACTGCTTATAGTATTTTTAGCACAATACTACTGGATTTCCATTGGGACAATGAGAATCTGGCTTAGTACATGCGCTCGTAATCTCTAGATTAGACCACTGTAACGCGCTCTACGTGGGGCTTCCTTTGAAGCTGATGCGGAAATTTCAGGTGGTGCAGAATGCAGTGGCCAGACTCCTTACCGGAGTGAGAAAATACCAACATATTTCTCTTACTCTGGCCATGCTGCACTGGCTGCCCATCCGTTTCCGCATTAACTTCAAAGTGTTAATGCTTACATATAAGGCCCTAAACGGCTTAGGACCCCGATACTTGGAGGAACACCTGCTCCCACCTGGATCTACTCGGATCACCCGCACAAGCCAGGTGAGGCTGAGGAGCCTTACGCCGAGGGAGGCCCGGAAGGAAAGGACTCGAAATCGGGCCTTCTCAGCGGCATCTCCTTGCCTCTGGAATAACCTTCCTCCGGCAATTCTGTTGCATATATATATTTTAAATCCAGGGTGACCCCTTGAGACCTGAGCAGATGCTCCAACCCATGGTGTAAAGGGGTGTCTATTTCTTAATTACATTTATACCCTGCCTTTACTCCAGCAGAATACATAGTACTCCTCCTCCCTGCTTTATCCTCACAACAGCCTTGCGAAGTAGGCCATTTTGAGGGAGAACAACTGCCCCCCTGCGACTGAGTGAGTGTCGTGGCCTTGTGAGATTCCAACCCGGATTTCCCAAGTCCGATACTGCAGCCACCGCGGCATATAGGCTCAAAGCCCTAAGGGACTAGGCCTCAGTCCTCCACATAACACACCTCTTTCCAAGTGAACCAGAGGGTACATGGCCAGAAAACTGTGTGAGGGGCAAAAAAGAACCCCACACCTTAAACAAAGCATTCCAATGAGGGGATCCTCATGCCGGCTCTTCCCCTGCGCTTCAAGGTTGCCTTTCAGGCTGTAATGCCAGTCTGCCTGAGGATCTAGCCAGCTAGTCTCGGGGGGGGGGGCAACTAGCATCATAAAATCCTGGCCTCAGAGCAAATCATTCAGTCTGTATTAGGTCTGAGGGCTCTGCCCAGGACCCCTTTTCTGACTGCTGCCTTTGACTTTGACCCCTGCCTACCTTGGACTGAGTAGTTCCTTCTGGCCCGTCTGATTCTTACCCTGCTCCTCTGGAAGGGGTCTCCTTCTGGGTCAGACCAACAAACACCTTTCTGGCCCACTTGGGCTGCCAGCCAGGTCCCCACATTGGAGGGGAGACTCCTGGCAAGAACTTCCCATCCCAGATTTCCTTAGTTTTGCAAGCATTTCCTGCACAGCTAGATGGCACCAGCAAGACTGGCATCAGAAGGAAGAGGTCCTGCCATGGTCGTAATCATGGGCTCCTGAGATCTGGCATTATTCATTAGGTTTATAGGAGTCAGAACAAAAGGAAAAGAGGAAGAGAGGTTAGGAAGGTGGTTTCAGAATCACAACTGGTTTTGAGTATTGCAAAGGGATCTGAGTTGGTGGGGGGGACTGAGCATAATATAAAAGCTGCCTGCTCTTTGTATGTTATGCATTCATGTCATACTAGGCTTTTTGTGGCTAAATACAAACAAGGCAGCTAGAAGCACTCTGAGCTAAAAGGATCTTTCTTTAAAAAGCTAAGAAGCACAATTATTCAATTAAAAAACCCACAACAACCCCAAGGCTAAGAATGAGGCAAATAATCTGTGCTTAGATATGGGAAAATGTGTTAAGATGTTTGTAGAGGCCTAGGAGAATGAAATCTGATCACTGTATGCCATTTTTTGTTTATTTTACACAACGGTTAGAGGAACAGTTCAGGGGTGGGCAAGGTGCAGCTGATGAGCCACATAAATCCCCAATGTGGCCTCCTAGGCTTTCTCAAAAAAAAAAAGCCACCATTCCCTAAGTGATAAATTGCCCACCCCCAAAGCTCTGGGGGCCCATTTGCCATTTAAATAACTCCCCTCAAGCCTATTTTAGGACTTTTGAGAAAATGAGATGTGACAACCTGGTCATTTCCTGTTTCTATAAAAGGCCCTTTAAGGCCTAAACTAAACGAAGGAGGGGACGTAATTGTCTTATACTGGCAAATCACACCTCTGAGAAGCTTCTGGGCACACATGTGCCATTTTGGAGCCAAACTAGCAGAATTGTCAAAGTGTGGCCTTCTACAATCCAAGGAGGAGGGGAGTTCCCTCCAGACCCTCAGAATTTGCCTATTTGTGCTATTGTTGCTGTGTCTTCCCTTGCAGGTGTTCTTTGCTGTTTAGTAAAACAAGGTTGTTGTTTTTAATCAGTGCAGGAGAACACCCAAAGTATACTCCTAATTTTTCAGGAGTAACACAAGCAGATACATCTTCACCCAGATAAACAGATTCTCTAATACCGACAGAACCTGTGTTTTATCTGGGTCAGCCTCCAGATTGTTTAGTTTTATCGACTAATCCTGAAAGAGACTTGGATCAAAAGAGATATTAAAGAACAGCTTTCTACTCCTGATTGTGTTAATGTAGGTTAATGGTTGAAACCCAATAGGAAGTTGCAACTGTGTGTTCTATGCTGTCAAATTGGAACCAATTTATGGCAACTCTAACAGGGCTTCCAAGTCAGTGTGATATGTAAGGAGTGGTTTTACCAGTTGCACTTCCTCAGTGTGTGGAATTCAAACCCTGTTCTCCAGATATCACTCTATCCATTACACCACACTGGGAATCCTAAGGTGCAAATAGAGTAGGCTTATTGAATCAATGGAGTTTATGTAGGGGTTGACAGTAATATAGGAGGTGATGTGCCTATTATGGGGTGGGGCTGCCGATTTTTAGCCTCTGAAGTTTCAGAAGTGCTGGGTTTCACCAGGTTTCCAGGCAGGAAGAGAAATTTCATGATGAGAAGTGCTAGCAAAGGAGAAAGTTAATCTTGCTGTGTTTTTACTTCCACCTGGCACCAGGTCCCACTGGCTCAGCACAAAGGTGTTTGTATGTGTCTTGTATGCAAAATACTTGTTAAATATGTGTAAAAATGAGTCTACATTGTCTGGTTCTCTCTCTTATGTACACAGTAAGTTCTGTACTAAATGCATTCTCTGCCATCCCTCCCATGTGGCCTCCTAGCACTGAAACTTTCTGGACTGGGGTGATGGAGTGAGAAGTCTTTAATTTCCAAAATTCACTGCTGCTGTTAATATCATCCTGCCAACATGATTTTCATCATCAGCCATACACAGAAGTTACACTCCTGGATTTCAAGCACTGTCTCAAAAGCCACCTTTGACGCATCTAAATCCATTCTAAAGAAAGCCTCATTCAAAACACACTGGATAGTTTTTCTACAACATGGAAAACAGCTTCAGACTTCACAAAGGAGATAAAAGGTACGAAGAACTCGTGTTTCCATTTTTTTGTGTTTCCTAAGTAACATCTGAAGGAGAGAGTTGAAACAACTCCCTCACAGTTGTATGTTGAATGAGCTCATTTTCCAGTACGGGGGCCGGGTGGGGGGGGAGCCAGTGCCATACAAAAGTTTTATTAGGAAAGGGTAGATTATTTGTCTAGCTTTGTACTAGGTACTCTGTTCAGAAACAACTTCAGAGACCTTTTTCAGTAAATGTAAATTGGTCCTTTTGACTGGAGATCATCATCATCATTAGGGCTTCTCTCATCATTTTTGTATCACTGCTACTAAACAGTTACATTCCTGTTATGAGCCAGCTGATTGGCTCATATGTTCTGATTGAAAACCCCTCTGTACCATTATACTGTATTTGGTAACCATTCATTCTTACTTAAAATGAAACTATTTTTAAAACGTGCATTTAATTTCCATTTAAAGGAGGGGGACATGCCAAAAGCAGATGATTCAAAAAATTGCCCTAGAAAAGTTTATACAAGCCCATTTAAATACAGAAAAAAAATTACATCATAGCTTAGATATAGATTGATCCTACCTTGGTGCTGTATCAACTGTTAGCTTCTTACTTTAGTCCTCTTGCTGTCTGATGTTGAACGTTTGATTTAATTTTGAAGAAGCCTCACCTCTTCCTAGGTGTTTCCCCAGATCTTTCTCTTCGGGCAAGATTTCCCTGAGTGACTGGCTGCCTAAATGGTTTTTTAAGTGGTAATTGGTTCTATTGTCATACTGTTCTAACAGTTAGAATGTTATGAGCCTCGTGGCGCAGTGGTTAAAACGCTGTACTGCAAGCTAAAACTGTGCTCACGACCTGGGGTTCAAATCCCAGGTAGCCAGCTCAAGGTTGACTCAGCCTTCCATCCTTCCGAGGTCGGTAAAATGAGTACCCAGCTTGCTGGGGGGGGCAATGTGTAGCCTGTATAATTAAAAAATTGTAAACCGCCCGGAGAGTGCTTGTAGCGCTATGGGGCGGTATATAAGTCCAATAAATAAATAAATAAATAAATAAATTTCCTGATATTCAGCTGATATCCAGCTTCCTGCAGCTGGAGCCCATTATGTTCTGCACTCTGGGATGATTAGAACAGATCCTGCGCTTCCTTTGTATGACAGTCTTTCATATATTTGAAAAGTGTTACCATATTTTCCTTTTCTTCTTTTCTCAAGCCTAAGCATGCCCAGTTCTTTCAGTCTTCCCTCACAGGGCTTGGCTTCTAGTCTCTTGATCATCCTTGTCGCCCTCCTCTGAACTTGTTCCCGTTTGTTGGCAATCTTTTAAAAGTTTGATGTCTTAGAACTGGACACATTATTCAGGGTGAGGCCATATGAGTGCCAAATAGAGAGGAACTAGTACTTAATGGGATTTGGAAGCTTTACATTTGGGTCTTATTTAAGGATAAAGGCAGGATAAAAGAATAATGAAAAGCTTGTCTGTAAGAATCAGAGAAAATTGCTACAAGGTAATATAGGAATGGTATTTAACATAATGGTATTTAAAGTGTTAAATTAAACATAAAAATAAAACGTACTGTCTCTATGTTGGACGTGTAAGAAAGAGAAAGGGACGTACATGCATATGTGGTGGTCTTGTGAAAAAAGAAGGGAAGACTGAAGCTTGGTTTTTAATGAAATAAGAGACATACTGTAATGGGAATGGACAGATAACTGATTCTTATGATTCCTCTACTGAACACTGTTAATGATAAACATGTAAAGAGAGAGGAAAAAGGAGTTAATTATCATAATGGTAACTGCAGCAAAGCTACTAATTGCAAAGAATTGGAAATGTGATATAAAATTAATATGGAAGAATGGTACTTTGGCAGTGCCACTCATTTCACACGCTAGCAAGGTTATGCTCAAAATCCTCCAAGGTAGGCTTCAGCAGTATGTGGACCGAGAACTCCCAGAAGTACAAGCTGGATTCCAAAGGGGCAGAGGAAACAGAGACCAAATTGCTAACATGCGCTGGATTATAGAGAAAGCCAGAGAGCTCCAGAAAAATATCTACTTCTGCTTCATTGACTATGCAAAAGCCTTTGACTGTGTGGACC